TCTGTTTTCTCCTTCACAGATGCTGCCAGACCTGCTGAGCTTTTCCAGCAACTTTGTTTTTGTACCTGTGATCCTGGCTGGATTCAAAACACAGATATGAGGTTACCCAAAACTTTCTGAAGAGGACCTTAACTCACTGGATGCAAATTCATGCAAAATAGTTTTCCTCGCTTGGATTTTAAGTATTTATAATTAGTAAATTCTTTCCTTCCACTTTGCGCCCTATCTTGGATGGAGCATATGTGAGAATGTGCAATACAAGGCATTTACCTGGATTTTGAATATTGTAATAAAACTCACTTTGTCTTAACGCTAAACAATTTGCTGTGGGTTATTTTTAATTTGGCTGCTAAAATGAGGTTTCAGGAAACATCCCAATTGCTTCTTGTAAAATGGAAAAGAAAAGAAAGTAAATTTTGAGAACCAATCACTGTTATGGACAGCAGAGGAGGACAGTAAGAGCCATTTAACAAATTGTTGGTACTTGTCAAGTGATCTTACGAACTTTGATTAAAGGATGAGATTTTTAACTTCCTTCAGGTTATTACACGTGTAAATTAATGAAATACTGTAATAGAGTAGAAGAATATGAATGTTCTGTGAAAATTTGACACTCACCTTGTGTGAAAACAGGTGAAATTAGAAGAACAAAGAATATCAAACCAGTCAGCATCATGCTGCAGAAGAATCATAGTCTCATTTCAAATTCATTTCCTTCCCCTGTCAGAAATACACATGTAGACGTTGTTTAACACACAGATCAGAAACACTCTGACGTAAAACCGACACGGGTTTCTTCAACTTTTTTAATCCTCTAGAGAGAGTGAAGGACACCGAACTGTGGGAAAATAGATTGTTGAATCATCACAGAATTATCACAGCAGAGACGGAGGTCATTCGGTCCCTCAATCCTGCACTGGCTCTTCAAACAAGCATCATTATCTCAGTTCATCATTTTAATTTAGCAATATGAATGTACAATAAACTACATTAGCCATGGGCTCCACTTCTTCCTGAGATGAAAGGAATTAAAATTACTCATCCTAGCATGTAAAGGACTGCGCATAATCCATTTCTTATCCCTCGGCCTTATAAACCTCCCATCTCCCAAATAAACTGTTTGAATCAGTAAGAAAAGAAAGAGAAGTGTCATTAATGACTATGAAAAGAATTGCCAAAAAAGTGGAGTTGGAAAAGATCTCTCCACAAAATATTTAGTTCAGCCTGAAAGTGCCGTAGGTTTAACACCTGCCCATTTACCTCCTGCCTCCTCAGCATCCAAGGACCCAAACTTACATTCCAGGTGAAGTAGCGCTTTACCTGCACTTCACACAATCTAATCTACTGCATTTGCTGCTCAGTGTTGTCTCTTCCACACTGGGGAAACAAAGATTAGACTGTGTGACTGCTTCACCGAACATCGACGTTCTGCACTTAAAAAAGGCCCTTAGCTTCCAGTTGCCTGCCATTTAAAGACATGACCCTGTACCCTGGCCAACATTTCTGACTCAGTCTTGCTGCAGTGCTCCAGCGAAGCTCAGTGCATGCTGGAAGAACAACACATCATTTTCCGCTTGGGGACCCTGCAGCCCTCTGGAATCAATATCAAGTTTAATCATTTTAGACAGAAGTAACTGGAAAAGCTCAGCAGGCCTGGTAGCATCTGTGAACAAAAAAATCAGAGTTAACATTTCGGGTCCAGTGACCCTTTCTCAGAACACCCGAAACGTTAACTCTGATTTTCTTCTTTACAGATGCTACCAGAATTGCTGAGCTTTTCCAGCAATTTTTGCTTTTGTTCCTGATTTACAGCTTCTGCAGTTCTTTTCGTTTTCATTCATTTTAGAGCCTGAACACT